TGATCCACACTCCATGGTTTGAAAAATACAGCACTAGAGCATGACTGCTTTGATAGCCTGAAAACTGGCACTCCAAATTCCTTAGTATCAGCAGCTGTGTGTAGGAACACAGTATTTCATCCTTCTTTATCAACCACCTGCAAGAGAGATGACAAGGAACTCTTTACCTGAATGGGGGGAGCTGTGCTGTAGTTGCAAAAGGTCCAGCTTCTGTATAGCTCCTAATAATGAACTGTCTGAAGGAGGTAGGAAGAAAAGAAAGATGAAGTTCCTTTTGCTTCTTAACATAATGCAAACCCCCAATAGTTAAAAGAATAGGTTAAATGTCAGTGGGCAAGCTTAATTTTCCTCAAGCTTAATTTGCCTCCTCCTTGAAAATCTACATTTTGATATAGCTTTTATGTCCAAACCAGCCAAACAACTGCTCTGTGCTTTTATATTTTCTCTCCTTGTTTTTTTTTTTTTTTTAATTTCATTTTTAAAGAGTTGTGCCTCATTCTGTGGAATAAACAGTTTCACTCTCTACTGTTATGCAGTGAAGGGAAAAATACTGTGTGTGCTGAATGAATACTTTCCCACAGTTTGTTTGTTTTTACATGAAATATATCTACTGCTTTTTCAAACCAGCAGAGGGAGTTTTCTCATCCAAATAATTGCTACACTTCTGAAACACAAACCTGTCTATTTTTTTAGTGATGTTATGTTACGTGATGGGAACTGCTGCTGAAAACAAAAAGGTGAAATTTTACAGTCTAGATTGTTTAACTCCTTAGTGCTCGAGACTGTTTGCTTCCAACCAATTTTTAGAGGTATTATTGTGCAAGAAGATGCTGCAACGAAAAATGCAATGGAGAATTAAATCATGGAAAATCTACTCAGTTGGAATGTTTGGGAGCAAACTATTTGGTTAAAGGGGAATGTGCAATTATTGCAGTGCATGTGTCACTCAAATGTGTGTGAAACCGCAACACGTTAACAGCTGACACATGATTTTTTGGAAAAAAAAAAGTCAGTTCCTTTATTTTTTTGTGCTCGAGAGACAAGTTTTGAAAGTTCTGGGTTTAGGTTTCTTTATTTGGAAATAGTGGAGTACTTTTAAGATAACCAGAGTGGCAAAAAAAGTTCAAGTGAAATGTTCACTGTAGCAGTACTAGGGAAAGAGTCTCTTATTATTCCTAGGTTTTTTGTGAGGGAAAAAAAATCAGCTCTGGTGGTGACAAATTGTATCATTCTTATTTTGTGTTATAAACCTGCATACCAGGCTATATACAACAATCTCTCTTGTAAAACAAAATGATAGCAGTTACTGACGTCAAGAGTGAATGCTATCTTGATCTGCAAACATGTCACAACTCTTCCTCTCCCAAAAGTGAGCAAGAAATTCAGATATTCTATTTAGCTCAGTCATAAAGCATTTAAATAGCTAAGCTTTCATTTTTAAAAGGTCAGTTGAACAAATTAGTGAGAAAATAATGTTATTTTGTGAAATCTAATTGGATTTGAAAACACTCTGAGACAAATACACACTTTTATGGTTCCGTAGCATCAGAATATCAATGCTCTACATTCTGCTTGAACTGAAAGAAGAAATTAAATAAAAAGGAAGATCCAGTGTTTCCTGTGTATCTACCAGTGTAAGAGCAAAACTATAATTTCAGAGGACTGCATAAATACCAATCATGGCCTAATACCTAAGGGAAAATGGCTCGTTAAATGTTTTCAGCTTTTACTGAGGTTAAAAGTGAGGAAGGAACTCACTGTAGGTAATTTGGAAGGCAATTATTGGTAAATAAGCATTTAGCACATGACACCAGACATAGAGCTATAGAAAAGAAATGAAGTAGTCATGTGGTTTAACAGTTGAGCCAAAAGAGTTAATAGCCTGGCACAGATGTATTTTCCTTACATGTATTATAACTGTCAACTCATACGAGGGTGCTAAATATGGGTCCCCGTGCTGCTCTGAGTCACACACCAGCAGCTTCTCAGTGCAGTGGAACTGTGTCAGACTCAATGAAGCACGAGGCAGACACAACTGTCAGTGCCACACACCTCACGGACCACAGCCCCAGCTTCAGACAGAAAACTGTGCAGGGCTGTAGGCGATGGATTCAGCAGCATCAGCCAGTCATCCACAGAGGAAGAGACTCTTGGACTCAGCAGCCACAGGGGCTCACTCAGGAGATGCCCCATTTCTGCCTTGCTGGTACTGGAAGGGGATGCACAGGACCAGTGGGATGCTGGTGCATGATGGACTTGGAATAAAATTCAGGTTTTGTACTCAGACTGCTAAGCAGCTTTGAGCCAGCCCTGGTCACAGTTATCAAGGCATGTGGAAATAAAACAGAATTTCAAAACAATGTCTTGCTAGTCCACAGCATAAGAACCAAGAACCAGGGCTTTGCTCTCCAGAATGTTCTAGGCTGAGGGGAGGGCCAGAGGTACCTTTATGTCAGTGTGAGTGAATGTGAACTGGAATGAGACTTTGCCCCAGTTCAGACCAGGTTCCAGAAAGGAGGCTACATGGAGCTCCTTCAACACTCTGTAAGCATGTACACTGTGTACATTTCTTGTTTCACCTCTCATTCCTGCACACTTAGCTTTGTGGCAGGGTTAAAGAAGTTAAAAATCAGATGAAATTTATAGTTCCTCTCATCCTTTATCCTTTTTTTTTTTGAAGTAGCTCTACAAAGGAAGTAGAAAAAAATGATACAGCAGACAGATGAGTATAATTCATCTTTATGGAACTTATTTTCTGAATTTTGTAAATTAATTCAGTACTGTAAAGCTGGGGGTGCAGGAAGGTTGTATTTTTATAAAAAATAGATATTCCTTTTAAGGGGAGAATCATGTGGCCATTGATCAGCATTAAACACTGCACCTGCTTCAAGGAAATTCTGACTGACTTGTACATTACCAGTTCTGCTGTCAAAAAAAATGGAATCAGCCTGCCTCAAAGTATGGTGAAACAGATAAAATAGCATAATACACTGTGGTATATGCTTGTTTATACACTTGGATTTCACATTTTGTCTTTATTGCTCATTATCTGACTCATTTTCTGTTTATGTGCCATGAGAAAGATGCTAAGCAAAAGCTGACTCCTGGAAATACTTGACATTCTTTTCAGGCTAATTTTGTCCTGAGTTTGGCTGAAACGGCTCATTTTGAACCACTCATAAAAGGATGTCTGCAGCAGGGAAGACAGAATATTTTCATTTCTGAGAGCCCTGCTGTGTTATATTCCCTGATTTTCATCAAAACCAGACCATGTTTACTTGTCCCTTTGGCCTCAGGGTCAGGGTTTTTTCTTTAAATCACTTCAATTCTAAGTAGTCATTTCACTCATTCCTGAGTTTCCCACAAAAACCTAAGCAGTGAAAGCCTGATATAGCTTGGGGCACTTTCCTGAGTACATCTCTGAAGTGATAAAAAATTCCAACAAAAAAAAAATACCCTTACCCTAAAAAGTCTTCAGAAGCAATGCATGAGCCCACAAACGTGTGCATGAGGTTCCTGAGGTTAGCCAAGGGGACGTGGCCACTCTCCTCCCCAGGTCTCCCTTCATGTCACCTTCCATGGGCCAGTGGAAGGTGCCCCTGCTGCCCCTGCAGCCACAACAGCCCCTAAATCTTCACTTCTCTGACTAAAAGGGGCTTCCCAGGGTGGTGGTTTTGGGTAAGGTCAGAGGCTGCTGTGGGAGAAGGTGGAGAAGACCCCGGGTGCAGGGGGCAACCCAAGGGCCTCATCAGGGTGGGGTTTGCTGAGGGGCTTTGAGGCAGTTCTGCTCGTGGGGGGCTGTGGACAGAGATCCCACCTCAGGTGGGCAGATGGGCATTACCCCTCAGGTAGGGGTGGCTCCACAAGAGGGACTGAGAAGTGGGGCAGCAGTGGGGCATCTCACTCTGAGCCAGCCAAGGAAGAATCATAGAATCACAGAATCAATTATGTTGGAAAAGACCTCTGAGATCATCAAGTTCAACCCATGACCAAACACCACCAGCTAGACCATGGCACTGAGTGCCACGTCCAGTCTTTGCTGGACATCCCTCCAGGGATGGTGACTCCACCATCTCTGGGGAACCCAATCCAATGTCTAATCTCCCCTTCTGTGAAGAAATTTCTCCTAATATCCAACCTAAATCTCCCCTGGCACAGTAGAGGAATATGCCCTCTTGTCCTATTGCTGGTTGCCTGCAAGAAGAGACTGGCTCCCACCTGGCTACAACCTCCTTCCAGGTAATTGTAGAGAATGATAAGGTCACTCCTGAGTCTCCTTTTCTCCAGGCTGAATCCTCCCAGCTCTCTCAGCCGCTCCTTGTTGGACTTGTGCTCCAGACCCCAAGGAAAAGGGGGGCTCTTACAGTGAGTGGGTAGGGATGGGGGGCGGCCTCAGCAGTGAGGGGGTTGGTTCTGTCCATGAGCCAAAAGGCCAATGGAATCCAGGTGTGCATTAGGAACAGCATTGCCAGCAGGTCAAGGGATGGGATCCTGCCCCTCTAATCAACCCCATTGAGGCACATCTGGAGTGCTGTGTCCAGCTCTGGGCTCCTCAGGACAAGAGAGACATGGAGCTCCTGGAGCAGGTCCAGCAAAGGGTGACAAAGATGATGAAGGGATTGGAGCATCTCTCTTAGGAGGAAGGGCTGAGGGAGCTGGCTTGCTCAGCTTCCAGAAGAGACACTCAAAGGGGACTCATTCATGTCTGTCAGGGTCTGCAGGGAGGGAGCAGAGGATGGACCAGGCTCTGCTCAGGGGTGTCCAGCAATGGGACAAGAGGCCATGGGCACAGGCCCAGGAAGTTCCACCTGAACACGAAGAAGAACTTCTTTCCTGTACAGTGACTGAGCAGTGAAGCAGGTTGCCCAGAGAGGGTGTGGAGTCTCCCTCACTGGAGATACTCCAGAAACACCTGGATGCAATCCTGTGCCAAGTGCTCTCGGATGACCCTGCTTGAGAAGGGAGGTTGCACCGGATGACCCACTGTGGCCTCTTCTGACCTGAACCATTCTGTGATTCTGTGAGGGGATGAAAGGGGCTCTGGGAGGTGTGAGGGAGTGTAAGGGAGTGTGAGGGGGACCTGTGAAGAGAGTGATGAGGGGGCTGTGAGGGGGATGTGAGGGGTGTGATGAGGGGCTGTGAGGGGGCTGTGAGGACTGAGGAGGGGCTGTGAGGAGGGTGATGACGGCGACGTGAGGGCTGAGAACGCTGCCCCACCAACGGGGCTGGGGGCGGCCGATGACGGGGGCGGTGCCACCTCCCCGCGCGGGGGCGGTGCCGCGACGGTGACGTCACCCCCGCCTGGCAACGGCGTGGGGGCGGGGGCGGCGCGCGGCTCTCGCGGGACTTGGCGCCCCCCGCCGCGGGCGGGGCGGGGGCGGGCCTGGCGCTGGCGCTGCCTGAGCGCGGCTGGGGCGGCGGTGGGAGCGACGGGAGCGACGGGACGGGCGAGCAGCCCCTCTGCCCCGGGCCGCCCGCGGCTCGGAGCCGCCCCTTCCACGCCCGTAGCGCCCGCGGATGGAGCCGCCGTGCCCGGCTTGAGCGCGTCGGAGGGACGCGGAGCCGCTCCGCCGAGCCCGGGCGGGCGGGCGCAGCATGGGTGAGTGAGCGCGGCGGGACCGGACCCCTCCTCCCGCCTCCCCCGGGGGAGCGCTTGGGGTGAGGGGAGGGCGCGGGGCCCGGGGCAGCCCCCGGTGTGCCCCGGGGGAGGAGCTGCGGGGCCCGGCAGGTGCCCGCAGGTGCTCGCTGAGCGATCGCTCCGGTCAGAGGCCGGTCCGGAAGGTCCCGGGGGGCTGCGGGTTCCCTGGGTTTCGGTGGGGAGAGCGAGGAGTAACAGCGAACGCTGACCCGGCGCTAGTTGCAGAATAAAGTTTCTGTGGTTACATCCAGCCCTTCTTTCGCCTTTTTTTTTTTTTTTCCCTACTCTGCTTCAGTTTGAGCTGCACCTTCACCCGTTTCTTCACCGAGGTGTTGGCTTAAAGAGAGCGAGTGCTCAGCGACCAGGAGAGTTGCTGTGTTCGTGATGTGCAGGGTCAGGTTTACGCTGGAAGCAGTCGGTTGTGCTGGGTCTGGTTTTTAATGGGAGAGCGTCGGCGTGGGGAGGTATGAATGAGTGACTTAAACACCGCTCCGCAGAGCTCTCCTTCCTTAGAGGCAGTGCCCCCACTGATGTTCAGAAAGGTCCACTGACCATTTTGTTTGTCTTTGATATCTCCACTCCTGTCGCACCCCTTGCTCTCCGTCCTGTGTAACATTATCTCCATGTGCTCTGGAGGGGTACGTGTGACAGTGTGTGCTTATGCTGCTGTGTGCAAATGTGCTGGTTTAGAGCGGGATTTAAGCTTTTTAAGTGTAAGGATACCTGGGTTTTGGATAGCTCTCCTTTATCTCCGTCTTTATCCCCATAAAATTGAAGAGGGTGTGCAGATCAAACGTGCTGTTACTGGAGCGATAAAAGCTCCTCTTGACTTGTTTTCTGCTGATTACTAAGATGGGCTTTCAGTGTTTTCATCTCGGTGAAAGTAGCCTGATGTGGCCAAAGCACACTGAAAGTAAAGTCTGAAGCTATAAGGTGGAATGCGTGTTTTAAGTTCTGATACAAAGCAAACTCTAAAGAACTCACTTTTTGTGATTGTTCAGAATAGGTAAGACTTGCTGTTTATTTCTTTCTGGGCTGTGTTCTCTTATTTGCAAGTGAGAAGTGTCCGTCCAGGTCATTGCAGTGACTTGTGATGATAATTCCTGAAGCATAAAAGTTTAGTGTGCTAATTAAACATTTTGAAGTCAGACTGCCATGATGAAATGTGAATACCTCAGGATTTACATATGGTGTGTCTGGGTTATTAAAACCATTAGTATAGTTTATTACTATAGTTAGAAATACTGTATAAGACTTCAGAAGGGACTGAGTCTAGTTTGTGATTATTGTGTGGTATAAAACAATGTATACATTGTTTTTAATGTATATATATTTTTTTACAATGTATACATTCTATTTTTTCCTTAAGTTTCCTTTTCTTAAGGCAGTCCTTTTCTGATGACAGTAATGAGCATGTTATTACTGCTGCAGAGGCGACTGAATTGAGTGGGTGCACACACTGTGTCAAGTATTGTTATTGCGTGGGTTATTCTAACCATAACAATTTGTGTGTCTGTGCAGTTAGAGAACAATTCCTGCCAGAACGCGGGCAAACCTCTGTAAAGGATTGTGGAATAATCCTAGAGCCTTTTAAACAGATTTTCTCTGAAGGTGTTGTCCTTTATTCAGATTTCCAAACGTTGCTTTCTTGTGATCTAAAGCAGGGAGGAAGGTATATCTCTAAAAATAAGAGCGGAAAAGAACTAACTGTAGCTTGCCCTGCACTCACTGTGTTCAGTGGTGGCCTCACGTTTTACCTTGAGAAGTCATCAGTTGATTATTTTATTACTGGCGTCATGGCAGAGCTGGTTCTTGATAAGAGATTGTTTGCCTTTTATGTCAGTTTGATGAAGAGATTTTACATGTGAGAGGTGGCTTAGAGGGGAGTGTTGAGTATCTCTGGCAGACTCAGGGGTTTCTGAGATCTATGGAGAAGTAAGAACGGGGCAGTGTGACTCTGGGGGAACCAAAAGGAGAAGGGCAGAAGTACAGAATGCCTTGGAACAGGTTCTTTTGTGTTCTTTTAGTAGCTGGAAATTAGTGTTTCAGGAGCACGTGTCACTCAGGCACCCGAAGGATGGGGAGGAGGATGTTGTCAGAGGTGACACACACGAGACCATGTGAAGTTACTGGTAATGCCCACTGACACACTTGAGCTCTGTCATTACCATTCTTTGCCTTCTGTACTGGATTAATCATGTGGATTCAATATATGACTCCACAAACAGCTAGAGGAGCAGATTATTTAAAGGGAAAAAATATATTCAGATGTTCTAGAGGAAAAAGACTTCATTTGCTTGAATTGTCTTTTGCTGTCTTGGGTTAATATCCACTTGGAGAGAAGTAGAGTTCTGTGTATTGGTGCATTGTAACATCTGCTTACTTATATGGCTCAATAACTGGTACTTGGCCTAATTTTAGTTAAGAAATGGTTTGACTGTATAACTTCCATGTTAACAGGAAGGTTGAGCTAAATTTTAGAGTCCCTTTGCAGCCAATCGTTCTATAGTTTTACAACTAAGAAAGAAATCTTACAACAACAATTGATGAATTGCCACAGTGGAACACTGAAATCTACTGAACTCTTGTCAATATCTTCTAAGCTATATGCATGTACCCTCCTTTTTGATTTCCAAAAATTTTTACAAGCTTTGATTTTTGGTTCCCATGAGTCAGTACATTTGAATTTTTCTGCATTTGATCTTCAGACAATTTTGTAATTTTGGAATACTTTGGGAAGCCAGACATACTTCTTCATTGCCAACAGAATAAGTATAAATCTGTTTGATCTACAGAGTAAGTTCATTGAACATTAAACTTGTGTGAAGCCTCTTGCTTTCTTCACCTTCGTGTTGGCAACAGAAAACAATCTTAGAAGGTTTTTGTAAGCAGACTGAACTGAATGCTTTTAACATACTGTTGTGGAGACAGTGGCAGATTGCTTCAGTATTCACTAGTAGTATTAGAAGAACCTATTAGAAGATTCCTTCAGGGTTTGTTGTTTGACTTAAAAACAAAACAAAAAACTCCACAAAACCCCAGCAATCTCCCTCCCCCCCCAAAAAAAAATTGAATACTTCATACAACCCCAAGCAAGTGGGATAGTATAGATGAACAGTCCTGCTGGTATTTTACCAAGAAATATGTAAGATGGGATACCCAGTTGAACTTTAATCACTCTTTATTGACGAGTACAATGACAGAATCAAAAGTGCAGGTTGTCAAACCTTTCTGTAGTCGGGTTCTGGATGAGCCTAGTGCTGGCCAACTGTACTTGCACTGGCCAAGTTAAGCAAAGTGGTTTCTTACTTCATTTCTTTATTCTAGACAGAACTGTAAGGGAGGATGATGTGAAGCTGACCTCTGGAAGAGAGATGCCTAAACTACTGGGAAACCAAATTACTGTAACTGGGAAGAGTTGATGGATACTGGGCTTGGGTCAAGATAGAAGAGAAATCCCATCAAAAGGTGCAAGAGATTCTGTCAGCTCAACTCTTGCCTTTTCAGGTTTTTTTTCCAAGAATGGAAGAGCTGCTGCACTGAGAGTCCTTACTGTGGGGTTGGTAGGGAGGAAAAGGATATGGAAAGCAGGTTTGAAATGGAAAGTTGTTCTTGTTTGGTTTTTTGGATTGTTGTGGTGGTGGTTTTTTTTTTTTTTTGGTTGGTTGGGTTTGTTTTTAAATAAAACCCCATGGTCTGGCAATCAGTAATTTATAGGCTTTCTCAGAGGTGTTTGTGGTTTCGTCAGAGCTTTTTTATAGATAGGGATGGACCATGAGGGACTTGGACTAAGGGGCACAAAGAAGAATGTGGTTTTGCCAGCCACAAGTGCCTGTGACAGTGGAAGTCCCTGTTTAACATAAATGGGTGTATGTGGGGGAAATATGTCTTTTCAATGTGAGGGTATGTTTTTGGTGTTTTTTTTTTTTTCTGTCTGTCTGGTTTTTTTTGGTTTTGTATTTTTTTTCAAAAACTGCTGCTTGCTCTGCCTGACAGTATTTTTGAGAAATGGTGGATGATTGGTGGCTTCAGTCTGAGAAGTTTCTCTACATCTACACTCCTCCTGTGTCAGCCGTTCCAGGTGATGGTCACCTTTACTGGATGGTTATTTTAATTTTTATTTCACTTTCAGCTTGTTGAGAGGAGAGTTGTTCAGGACTGTGTATGTGCTATTCAAGACTCAGCTATCTTGGTTTCTTCTGTTTTCCTTACAGTTTTTGTTTCAGTTAGGTCAGATCTATACCTTGAGTTCTCTTTACCTTCACTGGCTTTCTCTGTTGTCTGCCTGTGCTTGGGGTTGGTTTTTTTTTCTCTTAGTGGGTTTTTGTTGCATAAACACAGGAAATGTGTGGTTGGGCACCCTGTGCTGTCTGGGGCTGAGCTGCCCGGTCTGTCCCGCTCCACCTGTCATAGCTCTGCTCTTCCATCCA